CATACATGCACAGAAGGAAGGGGAGAGGTAGTGGAGTGTCACACCGCCCAACAAAAGGAACGCAGCGGAAGACTCAGAGGAGCAAAGTGACAGAACACACAAAACTGTGGATTCTCTCCACACAGGTCCCAACAATCATTCATAGAAGACAACCGAGTGATCACAGCCAGAAATCAATGAAGAGATGACAACTCAAACACAGTAATACAACTGTTTATTAAACTCAGAGCATCGTTTTCCCTTAATAACCTCAGAACCCTGCTGCGCTACCCTCAAAGGGGTAGCGCCTCAACCCCACACACACCGAGCAGCTAAAAATAACACCAGAACCCCAGGTAACACCCAGCGCCACCCTGACATCCAACTCAGTGGCCTGCGCCAAGATGAAACAGGCTCCCAGAGCCAATCGCCACCCAGATGATGAAGAAGAAGCTCAGCGTCAACAGTCCCTGATGAAGATGAAGTCCAGACGATGATATCCTTTAAGAAGATGCAGCTACGGCTGCATCGCCACTGGGACCCTACTCCCGAGGAGGGTCAGCAGTGCACCACGTGCTCCAACACATCAGTTCTCTGATAGCCCAGACCGCTTTGACTCCCAGAGAGTCAGAGCGGACAGCGTTGACCCCAGTCTGGTCAGCGCTCCAAAGGTCTGGCTATGTCCGCCGTCTCCCACACCGGAATCAGCAACCACGACCTGATACCGTGTCCGCAGCAACTTCCACCACGAAGTGTCAACTGCCAAAAGCCCATGACCGATGTCCCCACCCTATCTATACCCTAAACTAGCCTAGACACGACCTAGACCGGACTGACTGACCGACCGGTACCGTTTCTGTTTCGGCCTCTACGGCCTCTCCCTACCCGGCTATAGGCTATAGGACCGTCTATCAGCGTAGGCCCATTGGGCCTCTGTCCTAGGGGTAGCCTGGGTCTGCTATTCGCAGTAAGGGTAGCTGTAGGAAATTCGAGTTAGTACCGGGCCTATGTTTACAAATATGTCCCTCACGAATTTTCCTTACAGGTGGGTCTCTCGGTTAGCCCTCAGCCAAACAAAATTACGAATCTGTCCCTACCTACAGTACAGCCTCGTCAGAGAGAGGCTACAGGCAACCTGGAACCAGCAAGTCATTGCACCCCCCCCAAAACCCCATGAAAAAAAAATAGCAGATCACTTTTTTCTCTGCGGATTCGGGGAGATCTCGACAAGCGCAGTCCAACCCCATCATCAAAAAAATAAAAATAAAAAATTGACCCAGTTTTGGGCCCAACCGGTTTTCCGGTTGGACCACCAGGGTTCCAACCGGCCGGTGGCTGGTGCGGCCCTGGTATAGACAATGGTAAGTATATGATCCACCATCAGCGCATGCAACACTGATGTCCAATCTCACCAAGTTCCATACACGCCAGTACAATTGGAAGAAGGAGAAGAGTGGAGGAGGAGGAGGAGGAGGAAGAGGAGGAAAAGAACAGTGACAAGGACAACAGGATGAAGAGAACAGGAAGAGCAACAACAAGGAGAGTGGGAAGGAGGAGGAGGAGGAGGAGGGGGAAAAGAAGGGCGGAGGAGGAGGAGGAGCAGGAGGAGGAGGAGGACGACGAGGAGGACGACGAGGAGGAGGAGGACGACGAGGAGGAGAAGAACAGTGAGAAGGACAATGGGATGAAGAGAACAGGGGCAGGAATTACAATGAGAGTGGCAAGGACGTGGAGGAGGAGGAGGAAAAGGGGGAGAGGGAGGGGGAGTCAATGGGGGAGATGACATTCATACCTGCAGAATCCATCAATCATTGTGTTTGCTGATCCTCGTTGTCTGATGAAAAGCCCATCCGATCACAGACTGGGAACTTGATGAGTGAATGATGCTTGGTCCTTCAAAAATCCTAGACACTCAAATGCAAAGTGGCGAAACCCGTACCCTACCGGTAGAAAGTAGTTCAAAAAGGAGGGGCACTGACGGAAGCAAGGAAGGGAAAAGCGGAGGAAGGGAGGAAGGGAGGAAGGGAGGAAGGGGGATTTCTAAGGCAAGATTGGGGTTCCCAAGATGGTTTATACACAAAGTTATAAACGTACCCGTTTAGCGCAATCCCGGCTCCCTGATTTGCCACTGGGACAGATGTCCATTGACGGTGTGACGATTTGCACATAGCCTTTATCTTTAAGCCTCTCCCCCACGGTGCTCGCCAGCTCCACCCCTGCAAAACCTGCTCCGACCACGACCACACGTATTGGTCCGACACCCTCAGGTTGCGTCAACCCCCTGTTCTCCAATTCTTGAAGTTTTGTCCCCACTTGCTGCACATCGGAGATTCATCCAGTTGGCCAGGCACACCGGCATTCCTTCTCACGTAAATAATCAACAATAAATACTTAAAGTTATTATTATAAACTTAAGGCTAAGAAATTTTAATAACAACAGACAAGCACAGTTATCAGCTGGCAATGTTATACTTTTTTTTTTTTTTTTTTGGGGGGGGGGGGGGGGGGTGTTCAACAACTAACGCGAACTCAAGGGCACCTCCGAGTCTCTTTTTCACGACCCGGATTTCTGCCGCAAGCTGGGTTCTGTCGAAATGGCGCGGGTACACTGTAACGAGCGTGAGGCTGAGGGTGAGCCGAGGGAGAGGAGAGAGAGGGAGAGMGTGAGAGCACACACACACACTCACTCACTCGACTCGACGGACTCGGACTGAGGGTCGGACGCAGACACAGTGGTAAGGCACAAAGTCGAAGTCTTCGATTCCGAATGCCTAAACAGCAAGTCACACTGAGTACGAGTACAGCAGCAGAGAACTGGTACGAGACTGCCCCCCCGTACCGTACGGGGAGCCGGTATAAGTACCGGTGACACCTACGGTACCAGGGGCATTTCTGCAAAGGCCCCGAGGACAGAACTGAAAAATGCAGTATTTGAAAGTGGCGCCCGAATTGCAGCATGGCGCCAATTGTCCAAAATCCTATGGTACCAAACGAGGGGTTTGGAAAAAGGGTGCCAGGCCGAGAACGGGATGCAGCCAAAACAGCAAAAGATAGACCAGGGATCGACCCCTGGCGAAGTCCGTAACATACACAATATTTTATTTTGGCTGGGGCTGCCAGGGCATCGACAACCACATCAGAACAAAATAACTGGGACAGGTACTGGTCGTTTAAGCCCCTCTAAGCCCTATTTATACCCCCCCACTCCAACACCGTTGAAAAACAAAAAAAAAAAGCCAGGATTTGGGCTGCTTTCAGTGGGCAAAAAGACGCCCCACAGGGGGAAAAAAAACAAATTCCTGGACTTTTTATCCCCCTTCCCCCCACCCCGCCTCCCCCACCCCTGCGAGGGCACGTAATCAAGATGTTCAAGATGTTCCTTCAATTCCGCACCATGGTCAGAAGAGAAAAAAGAAGGAAAGGGAGCAGAGAGAGAGTACAGAGAGTCTCAAAGAGATGGTAGAGAGCAGGGAGAGACTGAGAGAGAGTGGGAAGAACACTAGAGAGAGAGAGAGAGAGAGAGAGAGAGAGAGAGAGAGAGAGAAAGAGAGAGAGAGAGAGAGAGAGAGAGAGAGAGAGAGAGAGAGAGAGAG